CCATCACATCCCCTCCTGCACCGTCCTCTGGCCATGGTATTTCTTTTTGTTAGCTGAAAACAACAACGACAGCAAAAAAACCCAGCCAAAAACCTAGTCCTCTGATTGATCACAATTTTTAAAAACCAAAAAAACAAAACAAAACCAAAATAACAAAAAAAAAAAAAAAAAAAAAAAAAAAAAAAAAAAAAAAAAAAAAAAAAAAAAAAAAAACACACAGAAAAAAACCCTGCAGCCCACGGTCAGTCCCAGAATTCAGAATTTCTGGCCCAGCACACTACCTGGCTGTCAGACTTGTGCCATGGCTGGAGAAGGTTTTGGAAACTGAGTCATCAGAACATTACTGGGAGGGGAGAAGGAGCCAGAGAAGCTGACTTGTGTACGCAGACCAATGGAGAAGGGAGGATCTACTTGGATGCTGCAGTCTTGAGTTCTATAAAGCATTCACAGCAGAAAGAGAATTTACACGAGTTCATGCACATATCGAGATAATTTCTTTTCTCTTTCCCAGTGTGAAGAGAAAAGAAGTGTGGGACTACACTAAACTTACTCAGTGTTAGAGAACCTTTCACATCATGTCCCTAAAAGGTTTATGGGATGCAAACCATTTCCTCTGGATCCCCAACTCACTGAAATCCACCAGCCTCTGCTCCCACGGCCTCCAGCCCACACCAGCACTGGAGCCTCAGCTTGGGGAGCTAAATCCTGGAAAAAGAGCCTGAAGCTCCTGGCATTAAGCCAGTACACATTTCCATCCCCACAATCCCTGGCACTCCACGTGAAACCCACAGAGGCTCCACAGACACATCCCAGAGCACACCGAGATGCCACCTCCTGCCCCAGGGCGAGCCCTGGCACACAGCAGCAGGGCTCTGATCAAATCAACCAGCCTAAACCCACTTAGAGCAGAGCAGGCCATGCATCCTGCTGATCCGATGATCCAGGCTGATCCTGGCACCCAGACAGTCCCAGCAGGCTGGGCAGAGCCTCGCAGGTGGATGCAGTCTGTGGATTCTGGGGAACCCCCCACTCCCATCTGCCCTGCACCCCAAGGCCAGCAAAGGGTGGCAGAGGCTCTCCCCAGGCACCTCCCTGAGCAGCCAGCTCTGCACAGGGCTCCCAAGGACGCTGTTTGTGCTAAAATGTTCCTTGCTTCATCCCATTATGGCCTCAAAGCCCATAAAACCAATGGAGCCTGCCCAGGCCTGGGAGTAACAAGTTGGGATAATAAAGCTGAAATATGTATCCGTGTGGTTTTTAACAAGAGGCTTCAGGTTCAAGCTGTTGGGAGATAATAAAATCATTTTACTACTTTTGGGGGGGATTCCTACATTTGTGTGTAACTTCAAGCTGTTCATTGCAGTGCTTGAGCTCCCACTCACCATCACGAGGGAATGACAAGCAAAGTGAGACCCAGAGCCCCGTGGGATCCACCTGCAGCAGTGACAGGTGTCAGGGGACCTGCACGCCCAGTGTCACACCGAGTGTCACCTCCTGGGATCTGGGACAGTAACCAAACCTTCCCAGAGCCAGAGGTATGCATCACCCAGGTAATGCCAGGCACAGCCCTGCCTGCAGCCCTGCACGCACTGATGCTTCTGTCCACTAAAGTGAGGCACTTTTCTCTTTGAACAAAATATAAATAGCAAGATCTGTCTGAGATTTTGTTAGGTAAAGAAAGAAGAGCCAGAACAAAACCAGAATATAGTCTGGTTTTATATATTCATATGCAAATTATACATTTATTTGCATATGTAAAGGAAAGTGAGTCACTTTTGGTGCTCATCACTACAACAATCTTAGCCAAGTGCTATGAAGGAGGCTGCAATCCGCAGGACAATTCAGCAGATATGTGTGAGTATCTCAGCAGGCATCTGGGAATGCCCACAAAGGTGAGGGTGCTTCCACACAGCCCCCATTTCTCTCCCACCAAACACCTGCAATGAAAGCCCCAGTCCAGGCTCCAGGAATGCCTCTGTAGGGCCAAGTAATTAACCAGAGCACTGAGCTTTCACTACAAAAATGAAGTCCAGCCACATTTATACAAACTTTTCTGCCTCACTAATTACTTCCCATTTGCAGTAATGTGTTTACCTTCTTCCTGAAGCTGGTAATTCATGCTCTTCTTTATTTAGTTCCAGATGGTTGTTTCGGAGCCAACTCACCAATTTGTCCAAATCATTTTGAATTCAGGCCCTCTTTCAGTGCCAGGTGGGACAGAACCATGATTATTTTCTCCTCTGGGCAGCAGATCCTGGTGTTGGGTTTGCCCAGCAGGTAACTGTGATTCATCTTCAATTCCTCTGTTTGTGTGAGGTGTTCCAATTCCAGAATATCTGTTCTTCTATCAAAACAGACCCACCTTCAACCGAAAGGTTTTTTATTTTTAACTCCAGCCAGCAAACACAGCACCCTTGGAGAAGTGCCCTTGAGGGACCCTGACCCCTGCCTGTCCCCAGCAGCCACAGGCTCCCCCCGGGGTGCTCAGCCCACCCCCCGTGCCCTGAGCTCACACTGCCCGGTGCTGGCTGGGAGGGAACCCCTCCAGCCCAGGGCAGAGCCAGCCTGGGCACTGGGACAGCTCCCCGTGTGCCAGCAGCTGTGGGACAGCTGTGTGCCAGCTGTGTGCCAGCTCCCCGTGTGCCAGCAGCTGTGTGCCAGCTGTGTGCCAGCCCCCCCTGTGCCAGCAGCTGTGTTCCAGCTGTGTGCCAGCTGCCCGTGTGCCAGCAGCTGTGGGACACCTCCCTGTGTGCCAGCTCCCTGTGTGCCAGCTCACTCATGACCTCGAGGGCAAGTCTGGAAACAGCAGCACGTGTTGTGAGCAGGCAGAACCAGGCAGCACAGCCTGGCAAAGGGCATCCCTGCCCACAGCCACCCCGACAGAAACTCCCTGCCAGGCCGAGAGCCAGGCCATGCCCGTGCCCCAAAGTGCAGTTTTAGCCCAGCTGCTCACTGCACAGGGTACCTGGGGAGGGAGGCAGCAGTGCCCATGCCCAGCAGGGTTTCTCTGCTCCTGCCTCTCCCCGTTCCAGCACTGCTGCCTTTCTCACGGCTCCTGCCGGGCTGGGGGAACAGGACATTTCTACTTTTTGATTATTTTGTTTCCACTTTAGCCCTTCTGCCCCAGCCTGAGGGACTGCTCCGTGACCAAGTTCATTTCCTGCTGAATGGATTCCCTGCCCAAAGCAGCCCTTCCCAAAGCTTTCCAGGGGCAGCCCGGCCCAGCACCACCCTGGCTGCCAGGATCAGTCCCCAGGAGCTTCTGCCCTACTCCCAGTTCTCCAGGGAGCCATCAGGAATCTGCCCCGGATCCCCTCTGGGAACGGACCCGCAGCAGGGGGGATGGAGGGTCCCCAGGACCCCCAGCAGGGTGAGACAGAGGGTCCCTGGGACTCACAGCCCTGCCCTGCCCTGCCCAGCACCAGGCACTGGCTGCAGGGGATGTGACAAACATCATCAGAGTCAGTGAACAGTGTCAGGAGGATGCAGTAACTTTATGATTGCTCACCCAAAGAACACAGTGGTGGGGTCTGCCCCCCGATGGGGCCATGCCCTGTCCCACATCACCCTGTCCATCATCCCTGTCAGCGCCAGCTCGGCTCCTCTGGCCGTGACCTGTGCCCCCAGCCTGGCTGCTCAGAGTCCCCAACTGTCCCACTTGGCCCTTGACTCAGTGACGGAGGAGCAGCGCTGCCCAGGGGAGCAGGGACAGGACAGCGTGGGGAGGACACTGTGTTTCCTTCCCTGCTGTTTTTTCCCTTATGTTATGCAGTTCCTGTGACTCTTGGGTTGGTGGGATGTGCAGAGCATCGTTTATGGCACCCGGGGGATCAGCAGCCACTCCTGGCAAAGGCAGGACCTGGCAGCAGGCTGGCACTGCTGGGGCAGGAGAGACGGGGTCCTGCCAGGCACCCACTCCACCAGGGTGGGGATGAGGCAGCAGACCACCAAATCCATGCTTTTTCCTAAGCCTCCATCCACACTGCCCAGCGTGTCACTCATGCAGCCTCCCTGCACCTTGGCCTCCGTGTCTCACAGCCACACAGCCACCCACGTTTGTCAGCTCCACAAGTGGCACCAACCCACAGCCCTGTCCAAAGGAGGGCAAAAGCTCCAGCTCAGGCAAAGGTCACCAGTTTGGAGTTTAAATGGTGATGACAACAATAAGTGATACAAAAACCCCAATCTTCACGTGTTGTCAGCAAACCAGTCTGATTCATGCCCGTACTCAACGTGGCAGCTGCTCTCTGCCTTCTCCTGCCCCGTGGAATTGCCACAGCTCCGTGGCCCGTGGCTCCTCAGCTCATTTCCAGTGGAAGTGTCAGCACTGCAGCCACACAGGCACTGGTCCCCACACCAGGGCCCTCCCCCAGCACAGCAGCAGCTGCTCTGCCTGGAGAAAGCTCTTTATAATACTCATTTCCAGCATTATTACCATTCACTGGCCAACTGTAACCAATTCCAATGCCTGAGGTGAGCTGCTGTGACAAAAAGGCAGCCCTAAAGCAGACATCAATAATTATTGTCTTTCAAAAGGCTTGGCTTAGTAAAAAAAAGTACCAAATCAATACAACCAGATTTCTGCTTTGCCTCTGCATCTCTCCACCTCACACACTTATGACAGTTTAGATCTGCCATGATTTAGCCTGTTCCAAACAAAAATATTCCTGGGAACCATGGCTTGAGGAGGATTATTTCTGAATCCCAGCTTCACTCTGAAGTCAAGACACAATAACCCTCAATCTTACCCAGAATGTGTGTCTTCTTTGCCAAGCTCCCACTGACAGGCTCTGACCAAACTTCAGGGCTCAGCAAAAGCACCTGAAATATTTTCATATTTTTCTTACAAGCTTTATTTTTCAAAGCCCTCCCTGGTGTTCAGATTGCTTGCATTTCCTTCATTTCCTTGCACCACAAAATCCCACCAGCTCCTCAGGAAGATCAGACTTTTCAATGTAACTATTTGCTTGAAACCTGGCAAAGGGCATCCCTGCCAACCTAAAATACTTCATGTCCAACAACCTTCCGACTTCCTTCCAGTTTCAGGACTTCAAACTGAAATAATGACACATAATACTGAGTAAGTTTACACAGACATATATAAAAAAGCCTGTTAGTGTAGGGCAGAGTCTCCCAGCATCCCGTGGTCCCTCCCTCCCCACCAGTCCCTGCCCACGCCCAAACAAAACACCTCCAGGAGGGCAGATGAGGCTGGCACAGGATGCCAGCAGAACAGTGGCAGCACACAGCCCAGGTGCTGCACCAGTGAGGGAACTCGGGCACAGGAGCCAGGCCAGGCTCCTGCAGGGCTCTGGCACTCTGTGCCCAACCTCAACCATCTACAGCCCACAGGGCTCTGGGCAAACCCACCAGCCTGGGCAGTAAGGCAGCTGGAATGGCAGTGACGTGAAAATGCAGCATTTTACTCAGTGCCCAGGGACTCAGAGAACGGGCAGAAGCCAGGAGGTGTTTCCCAGGCTGGGCATTCCTGCAGCACTAGCTCCTCTTCCTCTTGCCCTGGCGCATGGTCCCGCTGTCCCCGGGGATGCGCCGCAGCTTCCTCTTGTTCCCTGTCAGAGCCACGGAGCTGCTGCTGGGGAAAGAACAGAAGGGTGGCAGGGTCTGCAAGGCCCCGAGCACAGCACACAGCGAGGCTGTGCAGAAGCACTGTGAGCAGCACACAGAGGCTGCACACGTACGTGTTACAGGTGAATCAGAGCATGGTTTGGGTTGGAAGGGACCTTAAAGATCATCTCATTCCACCCTGCCATGGGCAGGACACCTTCCACTATCCCAGGGTGCTCCAAGCCCTGCCCAACCTGGCCCTGGGCACTTCCAAGGATGGGGACACAAATATTTCTCTGCCTTCTCATTTGAGGAAGGTGACAGCACCATGAACCATCCCATAGCCCCAGAGCCCACAGGAACAGGGTTGTCACAATGCCTCTCCTTCTGTCCCCAGAGACCAGTTTGGAACCCAAGGAAAAGCAGCAACCCCCCAGATTCCTTGTCCATAACTGAGGACAACCCCTGGCACTGACAAATCCAGAAAGATGCTCTATCAGAAAAGGCAGTTTGGGGCACGGCCCCTGGAAGCAGGATGAGAGGTTGGTCAGTGTTACCCCAAAAGGAGGGCTTGGGGCCTGCAGCCTTGCCAGGCACTCTCCTCATTTATGGACAAAGTATTTTCCACAGAAAACTCAACAACTGTTTTATTTTTAGTCACGGTTAATTTTAAAGAAAAAATTCTTAAACTGGCTGTATGTAAATGAAGCAGCTGATTTCCGTCACTCAGCCTCGAAGCTTAAAATTCCACATAGTGTTGACATGAAAGATGCCACTAATCTGTCAACAGCTTTTGCTAATTAAACATTCCTTTTAAGTGCACTCTGTTTTATACCATCTGCTAGGCTGAATCCATCCTGCAGAGACTATTCATTTCTCTTAAACTGGGAATTCACAACTGAAAATAGCAATGGACAGCTCTGAGATGCTCAGGTCCACATCTGCTGACTGACACACTGAAGACACGGCAGGAACAAGCTGTGTTTCAGAGCTGCACCACGATGGAAACGGCTCTCCTGCGTGCTGGGACCCTCAGCCACACCGGGGAGATCTGTGTGAAGCCCAGCAGTCAGATCCAGCTGGGCCTTGGAGGTGGGACTGAACAAACGTTCCCAGAGCACGGAGGGGCCTCGCAGACCCACGGGCCTCTCCAGCCCCTTCACGTGGCTTTTCACATGGGAAACAGAAACATGATTCAGAGACTTGCAGACACTGAGATTTTAGCAACCAAGAAGTGCTCTTCTAATCTCAGACAGAAGTAAATCAAAACAGATGCTCAATTCCAGCGTGTTCAACTTGTCAGCCTCACCTACAGCTCTGTCAACAATGGAATTCTCAAATGCAATAGAGATCAGATTTAATTTTCCATAGCAAAGCAGTTTCTTCTTTTTTTTCTTTTTTTAATTAAAATATATAGTTATATATCCCTTACAATAAAGATACTCAGTTGGGCATCTGTGGATTCTTGGAGTACCCAGGTATCATTTTTCAAGGATCCACATCCACTGAGCAAACTGTGCTTCTCAGAACTGTGGGGATTCTTCAAGAATCTGACTTTCCTGAGGCATTTGCTTCTCTAGGATTCCACCAGCTGCAAACTACAGACCTAAACCCATCCCAAGGACTCTTGGATATTCTACTCACCTGTCAGAGGACGCTGAACACACCTCAGACCCTTCCATATCTGTCAGAATGTCTGAACTGGTGCTGAAGGGGGAAATAAAACAGATGGAAATTGTTTCAGCAACACCTACAGCAACGCAGGGCTCCCCTCAGCAATGGCAGCAGAACCCCTGGATGAGACCAACCCCTCCAGTACCAACAGCAATGGGAAATAACACCAACCTACAGCACAGTCCAGAAGCTTCTGTCTCACTTCATTTTCAGTTATCCCTGGGGTCTCATTATCGTTATTTAACACACAAGACAGTTCCATGTTTATGTCTGTTAGGTGGTAACTACACCACCTCTGCATTCTCAGGCACCAGAAAGTTTCTCTGGAGAGGATCTGCAAGGCATCTTGGGGGGTAACGTGTATCTTCTTTTTTTAAAGTCTCTCTCAAATAAATCAATGTGACATAAAATTCCTGTAAGACAGCAGGATTTTTTTTTTCACCCTTTGCCATATTGTCTCCCCTGTGAAGTGAGAGTCCTCAGCTGTTACTGTGGTGATAACTACAGAACCAACAGGAATTTGGCTGGACAACACCAGGTTAGAGAACCTCCAACACACACACACATTCAGTCATATAGATAAAAAGGAAAAAGATACCAAAAATGGATGGGAAACGTTTTGAAAGTCAACATTGTTTTTACTCTCAGAATTAGCAGCCCATCAAAAGCTCATTTTCGGTGCACGAAGTGGATGCCCAGGGAATGAGCTATCATCATATTTCCAAACCCCACTCCGATGTTCCAGTTGCATTTTAAAAAAGAACTGGGGAGGACACGGGGCTATTTGTGTGCTTTTAGTCCCCTAAAATAGAAAAAGAACAGGTTTGAGGCCTGAACATGATGTACTTCCCTGCCTTGAAAACTGCAGCATTTATCACCCGCCGCGTTTGTCACCGCAAAACAATAAAACTGAAAAAGTCTGGCTAAGGTTCAAACCAGTAATGTGTGTTCAGAATTCACATGTGGAATCCATGGTCTAGGCCCACCAAACTTTTTTAAAACCAAGTACAAAATGTCCTGGAGAGAGTTCCACCTTTGGCCTACACACGGAGCCATGAACGGGCCCTTGAGCCACAGGCAGCGCTCCCCAGAGACCCCAATTAACTCCTACGCCCTAATTGCAGTAAGAGACCGAGGAGCTGCAGTAGCTGTGCAAAGCAGGGTTCTCAACTTCCCGCTGGAGCTAACAGCCCTTTGTTTCAGGATCTGTTCCAGCATCCCACTGCTCCACGCAGCCACTCTGCAGCAGCTCTCTGCACCCCGCCAGGCATCAGCCACGAGCACGGCTGCCTTTGGAGCCCAGGTAATCACACACCTTTCTGCCACATGCCAGGGGACAAAAGTGATTGAAAATTTAAAAAAAAAATCCTCAAATATGCCACAGTTGAAAAACAATTATCAAAAACCAGTGTCAACTAAACAAAAGCAATTTTGATCATCAACTGAATTTGTATTTTAAATTAACTTTTTCTTTCCCTGAAGAAAACTCCGCCCTCTTCTTAGCATCAATGATTAGCCCTTAAACTGAAGATTATGAATTAAATAAGAGGAAAAACCACCTTATTCTGAAGGGGTTTTTCCTACAAATTGTAGCTCACAGAGTTCACAGAATTTACAATTTTTGTTTTGTTCATTTCTCTGATGTTTTCTGCCTTTTCAGTGATTCAGAGGTATCTACCTACATTGCATCCAAGCACAGCAAAATACCCCTTCAGACTTTATTCAGACTCCAAATTCAAGACAAATTCCCACAACAGGTTTTCTGTCCTTTTCTTAACTAAAGGTCACTAATCTCTCCCACAATTTTACAGATCATTTCCAGATGAGTCAATTTTTACAGCCAAAACGATTAAAGTTCTTCACCTGAACTGCTCAAGATGCAGCCAGCATCCTGTGGCAGGATGATCCTGCACTTATTCATGCTTCCACGTTGGGAAAAATGCAGCTCCAGTGACTCAGGCAATTGTCCCACTCCATATTCCTGCAGGATTGGCTCCCCTGACCCCCTACAGTCAACCAAGAGTCAACTCTTCCTTTCTTGACCCTCAGTTGGGCTTGACTTCCACCACCCCCCGCTTTTTCATTTAAGATAAACACACCACCCTAAAATAGAGATAAAAAAGCTGATGTAAGTGTGAATGACATGTCTTGCTGTAAAACTGAGAGGAGCAAACAGCCCTTTGAACTGGTTTATTTTAAGGCAGATTAAATTCCTCCTCGGCCTTGTGTGAGCAGCCAGCATCCTCCCATCCTCCCATCCACCATCCATCCTCCCATCCATCCATCCATCCATCCATCCATCCATCCATCCATCCATCCTCCCATCCCTCCACCCATCCTCCCACCCCACCGTGTGCTGTGGCCCAGGCTCTGGGCAGGTTTTCCCTCAGTGCTGGCACAGCAGATGAGCTCCAGCCCACCTCGTTTCACCAATGCCATTTGGAGGTGAATGCCCAGGTCCCAGGAGTGAGGGAAAGCAGCTTTCTCCCTCCTGCAATCCTGTCCCCCTGCAAGGAGCGGGATGAGCTCGCTGCTGGAGCAGTCAGGCACCGTGCCGTGCCCAAGGTGAGCTGTGCAACCAGCATCTTCCACGGCTTTCCAGAACCTCCTCTTCAGACCATGGCTTCGTGCTCCTGTCTCTGGAGAGCTCTGCCAGCCTTGGCTTTGCCCACGGAGGGCTCTTGTCTGTAGCAAACCCTGCACAGCCTCCACCAGCTTGCTGTTTTCCTTGACTCTCTCCAGGCTTCCTTAGTTTTCCACGGCCCCCTCTGCAGCCCAAGAAGACACCTTTGAGGCTGTGCCTTGGGAAGAGGGAAGGATCTGCTGCACCTTCCTGAACTGCTTCCCTCAGGAGTCTGGCAGCAGAGGGGTGTGGTGGCTGAAGCCCCAGGAGCACTCCCCACCACAGCTCCTGCTTTCAGGGCTCAGAGACGTCCACAGCCCACGGCTCCTGACCAGGGACTGAGTCCTCCTGGACACAGCCTGTAGGTAAGAGCTGCCACCACACACATCCGAGGCCACCAGCTGCCTCTATCTGACAATCTCCCCAGGACTTGCCACCACGCCTCACAGCTCCTGCCCTTTGTTACAGCTCAAAGTTTTGGGAAGAAAAGGATGAATCAACAGCATAGCAGGAAAGTATCATCATCCTTTCACAATGAGCCCAAAACTCACAGATCAAACACTGTGATGCAAATCGTCTCTGAGCCAAAGCAGTGCAAGATTTATTAATAAAAAAGTCCTGCAGATCTATAAAAGGCAATTATTGCACTGATCAACACATTTTCATACACTTCTCTCATCTGACAGCGACGGCCAGGGCGCAGGACAACGCTGCCTCCAGACTCAGGCTGGGGCAGCTGCCCAGGAACAGCTCACAGCATTTCCAACTCTCCATCCTGCCAGCTTTGCCAAACCCATGGCACCCATTTCAGAGGGCTGCTGCCACCCAGTGCACTCCCATTTCTACCTCTTCTGCTGATGAACTAAAGCCCATACTATGTAAAGCACATAAATCCAAGGATAAATGACCTGCTAAACCCAGAGCTTGGATCCTGATCAATGGCTCCTAAATCACTGCCAAAAAGCCCCATACATTGCAAATGAGGCCCCTTCCTCGGGCATGAACCCCTCCTGGCAGACACTGCAGTCACTCGGGGTATTCCAACAGCACAGGGATTTATACAGGCTGTGGACACAGCACTTTCCCACCAGGATTTCAAAATTCTGACTGTGTTTCAGCATCTCAGACACAGCCAATGTTGGGTTTTGTCTGTTGTTCAGGTCTCACTCTAGTCATCAAGAACCGACACTTGTGTTGAACAGAAAAGAAAAAATCATTTGCCTAAAGAACTGCATATTATCCCCATTATATAAAACACTTATAATGGAATATTTCCTTTACATAGCTCATTAACTGGCTTATCACTGTTCCTCCTAATTTATTTTCTAATTTTCCCATTGTTTAAGCAGTTGCGTAAAATCTGGCTTCAGTCCCAGAGAGTCAAAGAATTCCACAGGACTATTCATATGGAGCACTGCAGTCCTGTGGAAGCCTTGTGCAACTGTGACTTCAGAGCTTTGAAAAATTACCCTTCCAAAGCCATGGCTGTGTTTTGGTGCTTATCTGTAACAGCAGTTTGCTCTCCTGGTGGGATCATCAATCTCTCTAGAGCACAAGCATGTGTGGGGCACTGCTACAACCTCCATGCCTGGCCTGCAGCTTTTCTCCAGCAGGAGTAAAATTCTCATCTTTTCAGTTTTAGCACAGACCTCTGAATAATATCAGTTCATCAGTGATTAGTGTACAATGGATGAATTTCTAATCTTGACCAACTACTCCCTTAGCAAGTATTGACATGAGACTGAAAAGGGACAAACCTTACGAAGGAGAAAACAGAAGAATCACTGATTTCTTTGCAGCATCCTTTTGCAGAACAAACATTTCGACTCTGACTTGTGAATTGTTCTGCTCTATTCGATATTCTACTCAACATGCTCATTTTGTTTTAATTCATCAATACAACAGCCCTCCATTTAGAAGTGCCCTCCTCACAGGAGCACAGCATGTGGATTTGGAATTCCAAATATATTTCCAGTTTTGACACTTCAATGTGAAAAACATTTACTCTTGGCAAAGGATACCCTCTCGTTATCAGAAAAACACCAGCCTCAGAAACCCATTACTTGATACAATACCACAATACTACTAAAACCATCAACATCTAAATCATTCTTGTTTGATTTCTGCTGGCTTTATTTCACTACAATTAACAAAATCCCAGCCCCATGGTAAGACACAGTGATAAAATGTCTTTCTTTCATGCAGCTGGAATGACTACAGAGGTTGTTCCAGCCCCTGGCAGCACTGCCACAGCCCAGGGCCCTTCTGCACACAGAGCCCAGAGGGAGCAGCAGGCTGGGAGGAAGAGCTGCAGTCCTGGGTGGAGCTGCACAGCCCAGAGCTGGTCCGTGGGCACAGCAGGACCCCACAGGCCTAAGCAGGAGCTGGGCACTGCCAGCAGCCCTCCTGCCCCTTCACAGCAGCTACCAGGAGACAGACAGTCCAGACCAAGAGCACATTTGACTCTTTTCAGTATGTGTTCCTCTACCTCAGCATTTGGAAAGGGGGAGACTCCCTGCAGCCCCTCTTTATTTCCCCAAGGAAAACACTCCAAAGTGCTCCTCAGCAAGCACAGGCTGGCACCAGGAACGCTGTGGTCACACAGGAGGGACCCTCCCTCCCCAGCAGGCAGCACCTGCCACCTCAGCTGAGCCCCCATGCATTACTGCTGCTGCTCCCATCTCCCTGTGCTGCAGCTGGATGCAAGGGAGGAGAAGCTGCAGGGTTGATGCCCCAAGGCTCCCTGGCCTCTCCAGCTGCCCCTGCCCCAGGCAGAGTCAGACCAGAGGGTCACCAACCCCTGCAGGTCCCACTGGGAGCTGGAACCTGCTCCAACAGCACACCTGGAAACAGGACACTGCAGCAGGGGCTGTGGCAAGGTGAGCTCTGGGACTGACCCAGGAATGGGCACGAGAACAGTTCCCTGGTCACAGGGAAGGAAAAACTGCTGCCATCACTTACATCCTGACAAACTGAGAGAAACCTAGTCCAGTGCTCACCTAAAGGCTTCTTACTCACTGAACAGCAAATAAACTGCTTTGCTGCCTTTATCAATTTTCTAGTACCAGTTCAGGCAGAAAGACACAGAGGGGAAAGGCCACAGGAGGGGAAGGGCTTTTCTGGTCTATAAGGCAGGTCTGAAGTCAAACAGAAATGCAGGGATATTCTGAAAGGGCAACAACAACCCTTCCTGCCTCCCCAGTGCTTGCCTGCCAGCAGATTGCTGTTTACTGACAAATATTTACTGTATGCTCCCACTCATGCAAGCAAATGGAAATAGGCAGCAAAGTTTGATCCTGTAAAACAGAGACATTTACTGTTTGATGCTCTCTCATCCCCCGAGCTGATCTCCCCATTCCAAAGTCTCCCTAGGCTTTCACTCACAGTTCAACATTTCCCTCTGTGGAAGAGAACCCTCATAATGACTTCTAAAAGCTTTGTGAACCAAAACGGCTTTAGGAAAATTGATTTCTGTCAAAATATTTCAATTAGATTGCCCTGTTAATAACCAACAATGATGCCAATCACTACCTTAGTCTTAGTATTTGCAGAACAAGGAGGAAGAGGCAGGTCCTAGGGGTCTAAGGGGTGGGAAATCAAGAAATGTCACTCCTAGCTCAGCTGGTGACCTTCAGCTACTTTCTCTGATTATCTCCCACTTCTAAAAACACAGGAAACCCTTTTATTCCTGGTAATGCAGACCTGCATTCTCCTCTCAATTCTGTTATCAACAAGATAGCAAGATTAGCTCTCTTGCTTTCAGACACATAGCAAAACCCAATTATTCTGTATTTGTTTTCAATTACTTTTTCACCTTTCCTCCAGAAACTGGGGCCACAGGCCCTTACAGCTATCCTATTTAAAAGCCTGGGGGTGTATCAATTTTGGGACCTCTCTAATAAAGCTTCCAGCAGATGGGAAGGTGAAGCAGTGGCAGGGACTCACCAAACACACTCCTGGCTCCCCAGACGCTCCACTCCCTGTCTCTGTATCCAAAGGAACACTTACACCAGCAATCCCTTACGAAGGCACTACAAAGTGTTAAGTGAATTCTACATGAACTTCAGCTCCACTGCTGAGGCTGCTGAAGCCCAGGCCCGGGTGCAGAAGGAGTGTGAGCTGCATGCTGCACTGCTCCCTGGCAGTGCCACTGCCCCTGCACTGTGGCTGTCCCCCAGCTCACTGACCTGCACGTTGAGCCAGACGACAGGGACAACTCGGGAGAGGCTGACCTCTGCCATCCCCTCAGGCTAGGAGATTCACTGCTTTGGCCACCAGGAATTTCGGACTGGAGTGCTTGGGCCTCTCCAGGGACAACAGCTGTGGGAGCCTCTTCCCCAGGTTCTGCCAAGAGGAACGACAAGAGGTTAGAATGAATGATAATGCAAAATGCTATTGTTTAGGATTCTGCAGCCTAGAGATAAGATTTTAAAGAAAAAATTAAGTTATGAACATTTAAATACCAACATCTCATTCCCACATACTTATTTTCCAAAACTTTGACAGTTTCAAAGGTTGAATTTCTTTTTGTGTATATTTAAAAAAGGAAACCAACCAACAACTCCCTGAGAACCAGAAATGTTTCACTGTCGAGTTTCAAGCACAAGGAGAGAAATAAAGGGTGAGGATGTGTTACACATTTCGTAAGATGGAACTTTATTTCAGAAATTAGCAAGCACTTAATGAGTGCTGCTGGCTGCTTGTGCTACCAGCTCCCTTCAGCCCCTGTATCAGACAGCTTGAGCTTTAAGTTTTACAGACCAAGTTAACAGGCTTATTTTCAGTTGTGATTTACTTCCTTATGCAGCTCAAACAAGGTCAATGCACTGACATTTCCATTTAAGAGGAAAAACAGTTTCTAGACAACACAACGGCCAAAAATTGAAAACCCTTCTGCTGTTTTTTGTGTCACGTGTTTTGTTCAATGAAAAGATGAACACTTCTCTGAAAAGACACCTTCTGCCCCTCGAAAGAAAAAAGAGATACAGGTTAAAAATTCTGGTAGGAAAAGACAGACTGCCCTCATGCCACACACCCAGATATTTGCAAGTGAGTTACTTAACTGAAAATCACTCAGGACACTAAGCCTCTGCCCCAGGCCCCAGCCATGCTCTGCTCAAACCACTGACTTTTCTGCCTCTCCAGCAATGGTTTGGACAGAAATGGCCAAGCAGAACTTTAATTAGAGTGTGCAGGAGCTTCACAATCTTTGGATTCAGCTCAGCTTGCCCTTTCTCTCCTGCTAACAGGCATAATTAAATATCAGGGGCATATTTTTGCCTGCTGAAAACAACCAGCAGATCCCAGGGAGTCGCTTGTCCAACTAATGAAACACAACTCTCTGAAATTAGCAGGGTAAAAATAGCAAAGGCCTGTGCAATAATGCAGCCCAGCACAGTTAATATTTATTGAATCAAATTATTTAGCACCAATATATATCAAATCCTTATGGAGCCTTCCCCTTAGACAAAGTACAGCCCCATGTTTAAAAGTTATAAAGACTGGGAAACATATTTTAAGCTTAAAGATGAAAAGCAAGATGACGTAAATCAGGAGCAGATGATTAAAATGTCACCACAAACAGAGTGAGGTTAAATTACATCAACCAATAGCACAGGAGAGGCAACGGGAGAGAGGGAGGAGGAAATTAAAATAAACGAACAACAAAGCCCCAGTCAAACCAAAGATCTGTTTTAATGCTGTACAATTCCACCACTTCCATGAGAACCCCAAGCAAGTGGGTGAGGAATGCAGACAAAGCCTTGGATCTACCAGCTCACCATCAGGCCATTACTGCCTTCTTCCTTTCCCATGCTGCAATTCCCAGTTTAATACAAAGGCAATTGCTGTTAACAAGGAACCAAGAGGAAACAGGCTTTAGGCATCTGTACCTTCCCCTGGAAATCACCTTTTTGCTCCTTCAGTTGTTTATAAACAGTCATCCGAGTGCAGATGTTTTGCATAGAACTCAAAACTGAAATTCCAAGGATTATTGGTAGCTCAGAGAACAAAGTGTAATGGAAATTGTGCAGGTTTGCCAGAAACAAATGAGGTGCTGCCACGTTCTGAACATGATGCAGAATAATACATCTGATTCAAGTTATTTTCTACTTGATCACTCTTGGAAAAACTCCATGGTTTTACATCAGCTCTTCCCAGAGCCTGCAGGGCAGCACACACAGAACAGCTCACACAGGAGACAGAAACCCCAAAATCCACAGCAGCCCATCTCTCCCTCCCAGAGATGGAAATCAAGGCTGTGACCCCATGATCCAATAACACATTGCCTCTTCTTCTGCTATAGAAGAGGAACAGCTTAAAATCTTTTATCCTTGAGATTCCTTTAACTTTTACCCTTCGCACAGAATGGATTATGCACTGCACCAAGGTCTGCAGGAAACATAAGGATAAAATTCATGCTATTATACTGTTGTCTTCGTTTCTTTTTGTTCTGCAGAGCTGTGCTGGAAGAGGCAGCACTGGGGAGAGGCACAGATGAAGAGCACAGGGATTTGTGAGAGCTGGAGCAAACGACACTGCCGTGCTTTCCTGAGTGTCCACTGTGGCAGGGGGACTCTCCAGAACCCAGATTAGAGATCCACAAGTTCTGTTAGGCTGAGGAATGCTCCTGTAAAGCCCACATCCAAAGACAGATGCTCCCTGCCAAAGCAGCCAGGAAGCAGCACAAGGCAGAGGAGACCACAGGACCCGCAGGCAGCGCTCTCAGGCACACCTGGTGATGCCTGGGGCTGGGGAGGATGGAGAAGCAGCAGGCTGCCCTTCCTCCCGGCCAGGGAGGAGCTGAGCCATGCATTCCCACTGTGCTCCAGTGCAAAACACAAAACACAGCCAGTCAGAGAGGGGCAACATCCTGCATGAACAGCCTAAAACGTGCCCAAGGACTTTATTGCTTCAGTCTCAGGACAGAAAATTCCTGAATCCAATTCCAGCAGCACCCACCTCACCTTCACTCCAGAGTGGCCATGTGGCCACCCTCAGCACCTCCAGCAAACCTGAACCAGAACCTGACACCCCTTTCCAACCCACTGGAACGTGCCCCACATAAAGCACATCCACACACAACACACAATATACTGCTATAAAATCAATAGCAGTAAATCACTTTAGGGTCTGTTTGATCTTTATGCTGGTTGGGCTTTTTTCCCCTTAAAGGGTCTAGAAGAACAACAACAGATGGAAGATCATTTCTTTGGGAATCCAACACTTCTCAGTGTGGTCCAAGAGGGAACACTACAAAATGTGACTGACCTGAGGCTGCTGGCAGCCCTTTGACAGCAACTTCCTCTTTGTTTTGAGCACTTCCTGCTTTCCTCTCACCCATTTTCTTCCACCGTTTATTTACTTGATCCACCAAGAGCTTGAATTCACTTCTGTGTTTGTTTCCTGAAAGGCACAGAGCATCAGTGACCACCCCACAGGACTAAGGTATGGCACAAACACTGCAAGGACGTGAACAGAAATGGACACCAAAAACTGAATTAAAAGCGTTTCTGTTACAGCAGATGAAAACCAACCCAGCTGTGATATGTTCCACATTCTATTAATGATCCAAATCCGTGTCTGTGCTGTTCCAGAGCTGCCCACAGCCTAGAGCATGGCACAGATGAACACTGCAGGCTCTGGGTCGTGCCCATCACACTGCTGGCATTCAGATCCTTAAGTAAGGTAAAAATGCAAGTACTCTCTGCACTTTCAATCACGTTTTAAGCACTCCTCTGGTGCTCAGCCAAAGCAATGGAATTGTTTAAGCTTGATACTGCAAATGCTTCACTCAGAGGCTGGGAAAACACCCAGTGCCCTCATCAGGATGCTGTGGGGCACCTAACCCAGGCCAGGCAGGAGGGACCCACGGCCAGGAGGGGACAGCCAGCTGTGGGTCGGGCTCTGCTCCAGGGAACAGGGCCAGGAGGAGAGGGAACGGCCTCAGGCTGGGCCAGGCTGGACGTCAGCAGGAACTGCTCCTCAGAAAGGACTGTCAAGCACTGTGTGACCCCCCGAGGAGCCCACTGCAGTGACTGACCACCCTTCCTGTGAAGAAATTCTTTGATGTATTCCATGAGAAAACAAGTTCTGCCCCACAGAAGGAGACAGGTTTGACACAGAGTCCCTTTCCCTGAGTAGCTGAAAACACCACATAAGGCCAAAAATTCTGTTAATAAAAAGCAAGTTCTGTCCCAGATGTCGTGTCTGAGTTGCTGCACTCTCATTATGGAATTCCTCTGGCGCTTCAGTTTTTCCAGCATTACTATCTTTTGTTGTGCTGGCTCATGGCAGAACTACAAAGCTTTTTGAAAAGAAATGTCCTGGCACACAAGCACTGTTCAGCTACACTGTAAATCACTGTGGTGCTGAAATGACACCCCAAGCACATCCCACCAAACTGCAGCAACGTAAACCAGCCCCAGACAGAACGACAAATATTCAAAACACAGACAAAGCAGCAGACCTCCGAAGAACATGGCAAATGAAGAGATTTATAAGCAGAAAAGGCAACCAGTTTTTTATTTTTTTTTTTTTCACAGACGTATTTCCTTTCCTGTAGATTTTTTAACTCTTTAAACAGAGACCACAAAAAAAGAGGAGTGGGCTGAGGTGTCCCCGAGTCCTGTGGGGCAGAAGGAAATGACAGTGGCTCTAACTGCCAGGCAGAGCTCCCATCCTCAGGTTCATCAAGCCAAAGTATTAATTGCTATTTCATAAACAGCAAAAAAATGCCAACAGTGCATCGTGCAAATTGCCAAGAGCCTGGGAAAGTGCAAAGCAGCAGAAAAAAAAGCGTTTTCTCCCAAACAGTTTGTCCTGCCTCTCCCCAAGGCTGTTCACAGCCCCAGGGTGTTTTTTCACATGGAAAAGCAGAACAAAAATATATTTAAGGATTTTTATTCAGAATTTACACCAGAGTTCATTCATTCATTCAGCTGGGAATTAGGGTCTGGGGTGTAAATGCTGTAGAATAAAAGGAAAAAAATCCTTCATTGTGTAAGAAAGCTTTTTAAAGTCCATCTGTTTTACAGTGAAATAATGGCATTTGATAGGAATTCTTAATCTCAAACTGTTCTTGCATTTTAACATATAGTTCTTTTTTCATGCTTATGATATCTTCCTTATTATTTTATGAGAAATAATTACCTGACACCACTTACCATTTGCCTCTTTGGTCAATATTTTTTATTAATTTTAACACCATATCTTCCCATTAAAATACTTTTCTATCTTCTCCTTTTTCCTATTTTTTTAAAACTTCTCAATTTTCAGTGAACCTGCTTGAGACTCCAGTCAGATCTCCAGTGATTAGTTTTGTAGCCATGCCCTTTTAGCAATCTAAACTCAATCAAATACCTGTCTTTGAAAAATTAAGGCAGCATTTAATATATTTTTGTTCTAAATGTGTACAACAGGCCAAGGAAATAAACCCAGGAGCAGAAGGGCAGTGCCCTGGAGGGCTCAGGAGGAACCTTCAGAGCAGTTCTGCTGCAGAGGCCACAGAGCTGCACATCCCACACCCTGCTCTGCTCTTGTCATGGCCAGCAAACATGCCAGCACACTAAGAAAGAACAAAGTGCATAAATAGAGAAGCCTTTGGAGGCAATCAGCGTGTGTATTTTAGCTCAAAGGAAAAGAAAGTAATTTAAAAGCAAAATGAGGTGAAATTTCCGTGTTACTTACGATATTCAGCGTGGATCTCATCTATTTCTTCCTCTGTCTGGTCCTTTGTGAAGGTCAAGCTCTACAGAAACCACAAAAATATTTTTAACTTAAATAAAAAGATGATAAAGCTGCAGACTTTGAAATCAGACCTAAAACTGGAAGAAGCAATTGTTTGTTTTCCCCCCCCCAGCTTTCAGTACCTCATCACATTAATCCACATTTCCAGAACATGTCCAGAGTGTCCTGCCCTGCTTCCACAGAGTCACCAGGACCAAGCCAGCCTAAGGAACACCCAGCACATGTGGGCCATAAAGCATTTCCTACCACTGTTCAACAAACAGGTTTCAGAATTCACCAAAGTATCAGATGTCATGGGAAAAGAACAGGCACTCTTGCTGATACGGAAGCATGGAATTTGCTAGCTAAATCCTAGAGAATTCTAGGAAGCAAAATATTCCCCACACTGCCATGAAGGGTCAAAATCTTCCAGTATGGCCAAGGAGAACTTTACTCAAGAATGTTTATTGCTGTCAAAAATTGCTCCTACTTAAAGGGTTTGGGCATAAAGCTCAGCAGTGCACCCAGGGCTGCCCACGACAAGTGGTGTGAGAAAATCAGGTTCACCACAGCATGTTAGATGTGAAATCTAATAGGCAAGCTGGGAATTCCCACAATAAAGCAATAGACAGACATTCCCAGTGCCCACTCTGCAGTTTCTGCTGGCCACCCCTCTGTGAGAACCAAGATCAGTCACTTACATTTTCACCAGGTTTGTTACACTCCAGCTGAACCCGAATCTTCTCGTTCTTTTCCAGCTCTTTAACAACCTCTGCAACTGTTTGGAAATACAGGAAAGGGATCACTGAATAAGGAGCTGGGTAATAAAAAGCTGTAACAGCACAGACTGAAAGAAGCCTGCATTTCAAACACAAACAGCATTAGCCCTCTGAGAGGGAGAGCTCAGACTCCAATCCCAGATGAACGTGCTGTCTTTCCACATCCCACCAAACCTCCCTCCTGCACACAACAGGGCTTGTGGCACACGGGCCCTCATTCAGAGAGATTTTCCATTTTACACTGGATGTTTCAATGGAAGACACAATAATTGCATCTACTGTTTATCTTGCTTTGTCCCCCAAACCACCTTCCAGGGCAACAGAACCTTGTGCAGGCTCAAGAGGAAAGCCCACAGAGGAATTACCACCGACTTCACCAATTGTCAGACACATCCAAAGCCTATAAACAACGTAACTGCAACATTTCACTAGAGCCACAGCTATGCAGAAGCCTGCACAGTTTAGTTTGACATTTGCTTTTACAAATCTCTTTCTGCATTTCATCATCTCCACAGCACTGCCAAGCAGCTGTGGGCAGTTATTAAAACAAACACTTCACCATACAGTGAAGCAGGCAGAACAAAAGCTCATTAAGCTGCGAAAGAATAAAACCTGCTCCAAACTGGTTTAAGCACACTCCAGGAATTTGGCACCTGTGCTTCCTCAGAAGCTCAGCTATTGGTGTTCCACAGCTACCTCAGGCTCCCTGCTACCACCCAAAATGCACGTCTGCATCTGAAGTGTGTGTTTAATAATTCACCCTTCGTGCTGAACACAGGAGCAGTTTGGCACTCCTGGGGAGAGCAGCTGGAGTGCACACCACCCACCCCAGAACTCTTCCCTCCCTCTGGGTGAGCCAGGCAGAGGCTGGGTGCCACTCCATCCACCAGCAGCACTGAGGGGAGGCTCAGCCTGAGCACCCCCAGCAGCCTAAAGCAGTGTTCTGCACTGATCTTGACTGACCAAGATAAATCCTTCCAGCTCTCCCAGCAGTCACCCCGAGAGCTAACAGAAGGGGAAATGCAGAGTGATGGTCTGGGATGGCAGCAACCTCCCTGCAGCCTCTCACTTACCTGACTTGGGGTTCAGGGAATCACACTGAGCGTTGTACATGTGCACGAACTCCTGGTGTCTCTTAATGAGCTGCTGGCGGGTCCCAGAGGTAGACAGACCATGCTCCTTGAGCTTCTTCCTCAGATCTCGATCCGACAGCAGGTTGTAAACAACTTTGGACATCAGCTTCCTTTTGTGATCAGAACTGCCAGAGGAAAACAAGAGAGACTTTATTTAATTAATACTCCTATGAAAATCAAACTATTTACAATGACTTAAGGGTACCCCACCCACTCAGGATAACATACACATGAAAGAAACTTGGGCTTTCCACCCCAGTGCTGGCCATGGCTTACTTGAATCAGCTGGAGAAATATTAAAAGTATTAAAACATAAAGTCAAAACTCAAATTAGGAGATTTTTCAGCTTTCTGGAAAAATGTCTTTGAGAAAAATAGCTATGTACCTGAAGGCAGCAGTTCCCAGCTAACAGAAAGGTAGTTTGGTGATACAGAGAGAGACATTAAAGATAAGTAACAGTGCTCCTAGAGGAATAACTTCTAAAGCCAAAATTTACTGCTTTCTGTCAGGACTCAACATTCCTGGCACAGCTGGGGAAAACATCTTAATTACAGGAAACTGCCAGAGAAAATTCAAGTCCTAGCACAACTTTTGTCACCTAAAATTAGCAGAACATTTCCTCCTGTCAAATCAGCTCAGGCTTCCCTACACCTCCTGGTGAGATACTCTCAAACCAGGAAAAACAAAGGGGCCAAAACCCATCTGCAGCCTTACTCATCCTCTGTGACTGCAGCAATTCATAAAGGAACAGCATTTAATTAGACATTTTTGTTTCTGCAGCAAAAAAAGCTCAGCTGCATTACTCTGGATTAGAGAGCAGTTAACAGCTTTCCACTGTGAAAATGAGAGATTTATTTGAGAGCTATTCAGCACTTTTGAGTTACCATATTGAAATTTCAAGGTTAAAAAAAAAAGCCTTACACAAAAACTGTCAATAATTCATTTACTCTCATCCAGCCCTGTACCACGGCTGGTAAACAGAAGATGGATTACCACAATACACTCTCTAGGGAAGCTTTCTTCAGATTATTTTGGGAAATATAAAGAATTTCACTGAATAATTAAAGTAAATCTTTTGAAAGTCCTACAGAAGCCTGGTGTGTATTCCAGCTCACCAGCAGCATGACCTGCAGTACGCTGACAGCTTTCCAGCAGCCAGCCACAGGAAAACACCTCACAACAGGTTTAAATCCTCATCTTGCTTGGGTTTCCCCATTCCTGAGAAACACGGTGTTCCCTGGAAACACATTCACATGTTGGAATTACCCCTGTGGAGCTCTGGGGCTACATGAGCAGTTCTGCTGAAACTGCTGGGCCGTTGGTACAGCCTGGTTTGAGAATAAACAGAGCTCACATCCTCAGGGAAGCACTGGGATGTGCTGCTGCCAGGCACTGCCCAGAGCTGCCAGCCCCCAAGGGCAGTGTCTGCTCTGACACCTGCTGAAGGCCTAAGCACTCTGCAGATTAAATAAGCAGAACTTTAAATCCTGTTAGGGACATGGGTGTGACACCAAGGACAGATCTGGCTTATTTTTCCATTCATTAAGAACAGAGAAAGCACTAAACCACTCCAAATGGAAATTAAATGTAACATCAGATTTCAATATTCATTTACCATGTTTTCATCTTGAAAGTCCTTTAGCTTACAGACTGCACTCTAAGCATGACAGGGCAAAACAAGAGCTTTAACATAAAAATATTTTCTAATTCAACTTTCGGGGGAATTGGAAAAACAAGCATTGAAGTACAAATCCTCCCAGTTCTTTAGTCTGATCAGTCAGAAATAACAACAACCTAAATTTCTGCTGTAAGTAAAACAAACTGAAACTCCACTTGTGATGTGAATGTGGTGACCGTGACCAATGCTGGGGCAGGGGCGCAGAGCCAAAGGAATGCATTCATCTTATGGAAATCCAGATCTTCAGGAAACCTCAACAGCCCCACAGAGAGGAGAGAAAGGTGCCATTTTTATTCTTTAACTTGACAGCTATTGAAGAAAATGTCTCTTGGCACACCTGAACCAAAGGAAGCAATTCCTTCAGCAAATGAAAAATGGCAATCGGCGTTATCTGAAGGGAATTTTAATGCCAGGGAGCAGAAAGGTGACAAGAACAACGCACAGACTAAACTCTCCCTGTGCTGACTTTTTTAAAGCACTGGCCACTGCTTTCTTGCCTCTAAAAGCCAAAGAGTGATTGAGCTGGCAATGCAGACCCTTTCTCAAGGGGGCACAATGCCCACAGTGATTTCAGAGTGCTGCACACAGCAGGGAGGCAGAAGCAAGCACAAAGCACTGCTGTTACACCCCAGCAGCACAGCTCTCGGCTCAGCAGTGCTCCAACCAGCCACGTGCACGGGGAAGCTCTCAGAGCTGCTCCTTACCTTCGCAGGCTGTCCTTCTTCTCCTCTCTGGTCAAGCAGCTATCCAGATGTTTGTTTATGTATTGCTCTAGAATAGCAACCTCACAAACAGGACATTCCACTGAAAGCAAGGGAGAAGGAATTTATTAGAGTGGATGTAACAGCAAAGAGCACATCTTTTCCTAGGAGAAATTAAGAGTTGGGACAGTAACAAAGCACACTAGTCCTGAGCTGTCTGTTACTGTACTGGAAGCTACATTTGAGTTCTCAGAACAGGAACAAGTAACACTAAACCCTCTCACTGCAGGTGTTTCACAAATACTGTCTGACCAACTACTCTGCATTTGTGGAAATAATTTCCATGTGATGCATGCTCAAAGATTCAAAAAGTTCATAGAATGGGAAGCAAGTGAAAGTTTTAATTGCTCAAAAATAAACAAGCAGTAAAATCTCACATGAGTTCTAACTTATCAACACAAGCAGGTCTGATGTAAAACCATGACAGGCTTCCCATGGCTCCTTTCCTGGCTGTGGTACCTCTTTCAGCAGGATTCATCCAGCTAATGAATACATATGAACTTCAGAGTTCCAGATGAATAAATCATTCAACAAAACAACAGCTAAATTTGAACTAATAAGAACCAGGGGTGTACTCCTACATGGTGTTTTGTTTCAATTTAGGCTTTTAGCTAGGTCAATAGGATGGCTGCCAGCACATCAGAACTAAGAGGATTCTGCCATTTCAGTTGTGGTTGACTGGTATAAATGAGCATTTTCATGCCTCAAAGTAAATTCACCTTAACTCTCTAGAATTACAAAAGTGTAAAGCAAGTAACTCTGCTGGAGAGTGTGGGAACAGAAATATTAACAGAACTGCTGCCATGCTCATTTTGAGTTCAGGCTCAACCCTCAAATAACAAACATGTTATAAAATAACCTGCTCAAGGAAAAAAGAGCAGAATAAATGCCAGTGTCTGTCTAGTCATTAGGGGGAAGGAGAAGAGAAATTACTTCATTTTTACTAAGACTGTTGCACAACCATTGTTTTTCCGTGTTGTTACTCAAAGCAAAGGAATCCATAAGCACTGAATTCCACTTAACTCCTTGGCAGCAGCTCAAGCTTTCCCGTGAAGAACAGGCTGGGAGCAGAGCTGCCCCACACGAGCAGTGCTGTGAAGGCAGCACGGGCCAGTTAAAGGGGAAGGAGCTGAACGTGCCAGCACAGAGCAGAGCCACAACGGGATGGGTGCCAGGTTCTGAAGGTGCTCTAACACGTACAGCCAGCCACACATGGGGAGAGCAGGACATCACCAGAAATCAAACCAGAGCCACAAGGAGAAACGGGATGGGTTCTGAGGGTGCTCTAACACGTACAGCCAGCCACACATGGGGAGAGCAGGACATCACCAGAAATCAAACACCTCACCTTTCCTGTCTCCTTTGAGCACAGATGTGGAAGGTTTTTCATGACTTTGGGTGCTCCCAGGAATCTCCTGTGATCTCCCTTGGCTGTCTTGACCACCAGCCTCTGCAGAAGTGCTGTGTAGGTCACGGCGTTCCTCGGTTTTGAAACTCTTCTGACCAGTCCATGCCAGGCCACCTGCCCTCGTGGAGGGGCAGACTTTGTCCTTTCTTAAGGAGCTGTCAGTCCCTGGCACCTCTTTAGACTCTGGCTGGGACACAGGGCTGCAGTGGCTCTCAGCTGGACGCTGGCTGTGGGCCGGGGGGGATGGAACTGGGGGAGCTTCCAACACCAACTGCAACAGCTGCTGCCTAGGAGCACCAGGAGAGAACACACAGCTAGCACGCTGCACGGTGTGAGGAGCTCCAGAACTTGTTTGCCAGCACATGCTTGTTTTTGGCTGTGAAAATGCTAGGACTGAGGGCAAAGAGAAGGGAGCAAGCCCACAGTGGCTTCTCCCAGAGTGTGGTTTTGGGCTCAGGAGCAGCTGGGTGATGACATCTCACAGTCCCACACCCCAGGGACAGGGACAGAAGAGCCAGGGCACAGCGGATGCTCCTGGCACAGCCCTGGGCTCTCCAATGGAACATTGTCACCTGCCACCCCCTCCCTCAGCATCAGAGCAAATCACTCAAATTTCTCACTAATCACAGAAACTCTGACGGGTGCGATTGGAGAAATTTGGACAAGCATGACCAGACCAGAAGCTCATCCATCATTCAGCAAGCCCAGAGAAAGCACGCAGAGATGGAGGGGTCCAGTCTCTGCCTTCACCAGCCTGGCCAGCTCACCTGGGAGCTGATCCTACAGCAAACATCAGTTCTGCACGGTGTTCAAAAACCTCTGCATACTGTGTATGGTCTCAGCATTATCTGTGATACTCTCAAGAACTTAATGGACTGCTACGAGCTCTGAGCTGACAGAATTTCACCTTTCTGGCACAAAGCAGTAACTGCAGCACAGCTGACAACGCTCAGTTTACGAGCAGAGCAGTGTCCTTCCCTCTGAAGGCTGAGATGAATCAAGCAGGTGTCAGTGAGCCCAGATCCACCAGACAGCCACTGCCCAAGCCCTCCTGCGAGACCCATCCTCCTCAGCCACTGGGATGGGCCAGGGCAGGGAGCTAAAAACCACCTGTTTAACTGAAGATGGATTCTAAACATCCTCCCCTATAGCATCCCCCCTCTGCTTCAACAACAGCATAAACAGCTTCCCACTTTTTTCCTTCAGGTCTGTAACACCCACAAAAACTCAGTGTCCTTCATCAGGCTCCTGGTTCCCATTTTACAGTCTGTTTACCTCTCCCTTGCTGAAGCAGCAATGAAGCAGAGTTGTTGGGAATCTAGGGCTTCCACATAAATAAATTCAGAGGAAGAGACAGAGCTGTGAATCTTCCTAGGAAGAACTCACACAGAACAGTCCCAACTGCGCTAAAACAATCTATCTCCTTGAAATTCCTGCTGCATTCCTGCTCAATCACTGCATCAGCAATGACAGCACCTGCTCTCTCCAGCACCCAGAGTCGATGTGCTTATTCCTCTGACTCACTACCTGTCAAGTAACCCTGACTAGGAAACAGAGATAAACTTGACAGTAAAAACATTTTTCTTCCCTATGTATAAAGAAAACCAGAGATTCTTTTCAGCAAGCACTACTACTTTTCTATTTAACAAGGTGATGCAGAAACTGACAAATTTTCTCAAAATAATCTCTTTAGTAAAGGGCAATGAAATCAATTCTTTACACTTCACACAAAACTTCACCTGTTATTTTTAAAGATCCTGGCCTCACTGCAACTGCTAAGAGAAGTCTTCATTAAGGTCAGCTCGTGCAAATGCTGATCCTCATCTTTCTCTCCTGGCCTGCCAGAGGCATGCATTGTGCCCCGGAGCACAGGCAGGCGGGGGAGCAGAGAAGTGCTCACGGCAATGTCCCCAGGCTGCTGCCCCGCTGGGCTCAGGCTGTGTCCCCAGCAGGGCACTGACAGCCGCTGCAGCCCGGCCAGAACGCTCCTGCCCCTTCACACTGAGACACAGCCACGGCCCCAAGGACACTCCGCTTCACTGGGAGCCCACCTCTGCACAGGGAGGGAGCTGCACTCCCACACATCCCCCACTGCACCCTGCAAACACCTAATGCTGAGCAGAGCACAAATGGGATCTGCTTGGAATGATTCCCATTCCCTGCACACGCTGACCTTGGAGCACAGCTTTTACTCTGCTAAGTGCCACCAACATTACCATTTTCTTCCCCTCCGGGCCTGACTTAAGAAATGGGTTTGCACTTTGTGAAATACTGAGAAGATTTAAGGCCTAATTTTCATAAACATCTAACTACCCAAGGCTCAAAGTCAAGTTAGAACATACTTGATCCTTCAAACATGCCGAGCCCTTCAACCCCTGGACTGTGGATTTGTTTTTGGGGACAGCCAAGGGGAAACAAAGCAGATGGAGAAAGAGGAAGGAGACAGAAGATTTGTCCTGCAGCAGTATCAGCAGGAAGAGCAGTGGTGCCCTGAGTGAACGACACCCATCCCACCAACGCTCTCCGGACAAGCAGTGTCCCCTCAGCCCCAGGGGCCAGAGCCAGCCCAGCTGCCAAGCCCTGACACCACACTGGCACTGCCTGCACTGCCCCAGGGTGCCCCAGCAGCAGGGAGCCTTTCCACCCACACCCTGCACTGGCCCCCTCAGCTCGGCCACACTGGGCTCCACAGCCCCACCGAGCCAGCTTCATGTGAGCAATTGACTGAACTCCAAGTCACTAAAGGAAAGGTTATTGAGCTACTCTCACTGGTAAGATTTATACCAATCCATTAAAGCAGTCCAAAAAAATTAACGTTTAAGATTCAATATCATAATGGATCCAAGTCAGCACTACTTGTTCCCCACAAAATTAGACATTAACAAAAAAAATAGTAATCCATTTATCACTAGGAAGGACCAGAATTCAAGCTGAAACAGGAGAACTGTAGGATTTAAATTACTCAAATAAATCAATTAAATCTAGTAGTGGTCATATAGAAGATTAGATCTATCTACATTCTATGATCTTCATCAGAGAAAAATTCTCTCATGTAACAAAGCCATCAGCTGAACTCTGCTTCTTGTCACTTACGAAGCCAAGAGTCTCACTGACTTCCAGCTCCAAGTTAATTTCAGAGAAAAAGATGAAAGTGCATTCATCTCCTACAGAGACAGGAACACCCATAGAATTCCCAGCAAGTCACAGAGTAGCTTCTCATCCAAAGAAAACAGATAATAGCAGGAGCTTCGTGTATCTACAGATGTATCATCAACATGTGATACACATTGTGATACTGTTGTGATATTTTACCAAGTCGTATTTACTCTGTTGTTCCTGTCTTTTAAAGGGATGTGAAGCTCAAAAATTAATTATAAACAAACAGAAAAGTAGCTAAGAAACCAAGCTGAAAGTACAGCACTCCATTACTTTCCTTACCCAAGAAAACTCACATTTCTAGTCTTTCAATACCTGTATTTTCCTAGCCAGTGACTTCACCAAAAGAATGCTCTTGCAAGGTGACCATAACCACTGGACAAAATCCTTCTATTGAGAATCTCCCCTGCACACACAGGAAGGATCCTGAAGAAAATCTTTGCTACCATTATTTCCCCCAGAGAATCCTGACACAGCTGTTGACTTCCTACACATTGGCAGAGACTTCCAGAGCAGCTAACCAGAAGCAGAACCAAAATAAGCTTGTAAAACCTCCACATCACTTGAGTGCACAGTAACCTTCAGCCAGAACACTGCAGGATTTCTCCACAGTGTAAACATTCATCTTTGACAAAGCTTCTGTGGCACCACAATTGTTTTGCTCAGCTCTCACAGCGCTCCTCTCCAGGTCTGGTCACACACAGTCACACCCTGCCAGCTGCCAAACCAGAGAGAGCAGCAATAAAATCACATCAATACCTTGCAGAATTAAAGCTCTTCACTAGATCATCTAAAATCCGGTTGTTTTTCAGGTCAGATTCTGCCACTGCCTATAAAAGAAAGAAAGAAAGAAAAAGAAAAAAAAAAAAACCAAAACAAACCTGAACAAACAAACATTCAAATGCAGTGAAAAGAGCAAGTGCCCAGAAAATGTTCAAATGATCAATAAATTGCTTCTTGGCTTGATGCCTCAACTACCCCCACTAAAGTGCTACAGCAATTAAGATGCTTAAAGTGTAAACACTTCTTCCCCAAAAATATCTCACATTAAAATAACTGCCTGAGAACTTAAGTCCGGGATATTAAGGTAAGAGGTAAAAACAAAGCATAAAGCTAAAGCAACAAAGTCAAGTGTGCCCAGGTGTGGTTGGAGCACAGGTCTTATGATTTTGAAAACCAAACCAAACCATCTTCTGAAGGTGGTAAGAATCTTAAGCAGCAAAGCGTGAACACTGATGAAGAGAAATGCTAATCTTCTGATTGTGGAATGAAAATATGAATTATGAGCTGCCTTTGTGCATTCATTTCATTCTTTATAAGCAATTTCTGATTTTTACCTCACTGCAACTCTCTCTGCTCTTCTTTTTTTTTTAATCAAAGATTTTTTTTTTTTTTTTTTGTATTTTATTTTTATTTTGAGATTAAATGGGGCCACTCACAGAAAATAAAGCACTTACGCTTCAGCACTGCTGGTTTAAACAATGGAGTATTTTAACAAATTAACATTAAATGTTTTGTGCCAGAATGTACACACAGCCCTGAGGCAACGCAGGCCTGATGCTCCATCCCCTTCTGCCTGCACCGACAGAGGGGTGCCTCTGGAACAGGAGAATTCCAGATGCAGAGCACCGCTCTTTGCCCATGCAATCAGAACTGATTATTTGACATAGTCCAAAGGGAAAAGCTCCTGAGATTTGCCAAAAGATAAAAAATAAACCCAAACCAAAGGCACACTTACCACACAGCACGTTGGACACTGTGTTTTGTAGGACAAAGACTTGCGGATACAAAGGGAACAATCTGGAAAAAGGAAACACATCATTTTGAATGCAAATGTAGTTCCACACCCTTGCCCGTGTATTTCCTTGTTGTACAATAATGCAAGCTACTCCACAATACACAAATACTGAAAGTACGCCGTTTTCACATGGAACTGAGATTATCACTGCTGCAAAAGAACCCCTATTTTGTGCAAACGTGTTTCATAATCAAACATCAGCTCCTCCACCTAGAGCTGATGCTTGTTTCCTTTTGTTCCCCGGTGCAGAAACCCTTCACCAGCCCCCCGAGTACGGCAGTGGTTGCACTGCTCACTCCCCCACCATGCTGGGGTTTTGACACGACTAATGCTGATCACGTTCATCTCTCTGCACAGCCCCAGACAAACTCACAGTCCCCTCTCTTCCCCAGGCCCTTCTGCCCCTTTCCAAAACCACACCACCTTGTTGAAAGAAGAGGCTAAAAAGGAGGGGAGGCAGCACAGAAATGCTGAGAGGCAGCTTAATGTCACCTCACCCTCCCAGGAAGCCTCAACAGACTGGGAGGTGAAACACGCCACACTGTCACAGTAAATCTCTGGGTTTGTTACACTTTGTCAATTTATCCCTGAGCTTTCACGGCCACTTCGGGATTTAAAAAGTCTCATAATTCTCCAGGAAAACATTCCCTCACTAGATCATCGTGGGTCAGGGTCTCAGCACCAGCTCCTGAAGAGATCTGTACTCACAGATTCTCTGGGAATGCGTCGGAAAAGCAGCAGCAGCATTAACTAATCCCAGAACGGTTTGGGTTGGGAGGGACCTCAAAGCTCATTTCATCCCACCCCCTGCCATGGGCAGGGACATTTTCCACTTGACCAGGTTGCTCCAAGGCCAATCCAACCTGGTCCAATGCAACAATTAACACTTAAAACCACGAATCCGTCTAAATGCTCAAAAATTACTACATACATAGTAAGAAGTGAAATAGGGTGAGAAACCCATAAAGAAACAAACTTTAACTGTATGAACAGGAGTGAAGTGGCAGATCCAGGCTGCACCACCAGCCAGTGAAGAGAATTTCCAGTTTTGTGGCTCCCCACACCAGCTTCAATGGTGACAGCTTTGCCAAGCTAAACTAAACTTCACTGCCAAACTACAATGTCCCCCTTCAGGGAAGGAAGTGCTACAGTTTCTGAACCAAACAATCACAAGTCTTTATTTTAACGTGAGAAAAGGCAAGGTACTTCCCTCCTAACCTGGCTTCAGCAAAGCACTTGGGGCAGGTTCCAGCAGATATCTCCCAGGGCAGACAGAGCAGCATGGAAAATTTGAGCTCTTAATGCTTTGCACATAGAGCTTTGCATTTGTACCACCCTCAAGATGTTAAGAAAGATATTTAAATGAAGAATGAGAGATGTCACATGTTTGCAATACACCAGGAACTACGCAAGGGAAGGTTCTGGCTGCTTCCATCTTGCAAAGCTCCTCCCAGCTGCCACGGCAAAGAGAATCACGGAACCCTACACTGGTTTGGCTGGGAAGGGACCCCAAATCCCACCCAGTGCCACCCTGCCATGGCAGGGACATCCTCCCCTGTCCCAGGCTGCTCCAAGCCCTGTCCAACCCGGCCTTGGGCACTGCCAGGGATCCAGGGCAGCCCCAGCCGCTCCGGGCACTGTGCCAGGGCTGCCCACCCTCCAGGGAAGCCTCTTCTGAGTCTGTGACCCAACCCTGCCCCCGGCCGCCGAAGCCATTCCCTCCTGCTGGCAATTCACTGCAGTTCGTGCCCGTTTCCCGCAGCTCCAGACCCTCCTGTCTGCCAGGCTGAGCGGCCCCAGCCCGGCCTCTCCCCGCCGCCCAAGGCCCGGCACTCACAGCTGTGCGAGCACTGCGGGATGATCACGGCGATGCTGAAGTAGTCGAAGCAAATCCCGCAGCGCAGCAAGTCATCCACGGCCTGCAAGGAGAGCGGGGTGAGCGCGGCCGGGGCTGTCCCGGCGGCGGGGCCGGCCGCTGCAGGCCCGGCCCATGGAACCAACGGGAACCACGGGAACCCGCGGGAAACGGCGGGAACCGGGATGGGAGCGGGATGGAACCAACGGGAACGGGAACTGGGATGGGAACCACGGGAACCGGCGGGAATGGGAACCGGGATGGGAACCAAGTGGAACGGGAACTACGGGAACCAGCGGGAACGGGAACCACGGGAACCGGGATGGAGCCGCCGGGAACGGGAACTGCCGGGAACGGGAAAGGGGATGAGAACGGGAACGGAACCGCAGGGAACCGGGAACGGGAACTACGGGGCTGGAAGCGCCGGGAAAGGGAAAGGGGCTGGGAGCGGGGCTGGCGCCGCGGGGAGCGGCAGTGGGCCGGAGCGGCGAAGCCGCCAGCGCGGCTCGCCTCGCACGCCCGAGATATTCCTGTTGGTTAAACTTGCTGCACTGGAGGTTTGTGCACACACACGTGGAGCATGTTGATCCATTTTTGTAATGCTCTACAGAACAGCACTAGCTCCCTCTGCTCCCTTCATTTCACAGGGGTGTTTTAAGCCCTTTCTGCAGCTGCTGCTGACTCAAACGTGCTCTTACCTGAGAACTCTGTGCACCCGTGCCTGATTTCGCCTATGAGTTTTTTTGTAGCAGTGCAATTTCTGTGCTCTTGCTCCTGATCTGAGCTAGTCTGATTTTTGAGTCAAGCCCAGCTCCCTCAGCTGGCACTCAGTGACACTCACATAAATCTGTATGAAAGGTGCTCCAGGACCCCCGTGATGGAGAATAAACCATCACAATGCTCTCTGCTGGCCTTGGGCACTGCGAGTCTGGATTTATATATTTGAATGGACCTGATTACTGCCTGCCCCTTGCCAAAAGTGCTAGATTTTACAGAATAGTGTCATTGCCACTTAAGTGCCTGTTCTTTTCACCTTAAGGAATCAATTTCTGCTTTCTCTGTGAGCTGTGACCTAATTCATATATCAAACTCCTACAGTTTTCTGTTCTCTTCGTTCCCTCATGCACAGGGCAGATCTTGGTTCACACATCCTGACAGGAGTTCACTGGATGGGAATGAACTCGCCCAGGAATGGGCACAGAGGGTTCGTGGGTTCATTTCTGCAGCAACGCGTTTATTTTTTGTTTAAGTGGACTGATGAAGAGCAAAGGGCAGTGAGTTTACAGCCAAGCACCGTCCACACAGACCGCTGCTGAATAAAACAATTTAAACTGCTTCCACGGTAAAAGCACCACATGAAAGAAGCCTGGAAGGTCTGTGCTTTCAGCTGGGAGCATCCCCTGCTCGGGCAGGACGGTCCCTTGAGCGGGCTGGGTGAGCCTTTCCCGGGGGGATGCAGGGCTGGGAGCATCCCCTGCTCGGGCAGGACGGTCCCTTGAGCGGGCTGGGTGAGCCTTTCCCGGGGGGATGCAGGGCTGGGAGCATCCCCTGCTCGGGCAGGACGGTCCCTTGAGCGGGCTGGGCGAGCCATCCCCCCTGGGGATGCAGGGCTGGGGGCTGCCCCGGCGCAGGAGGAGCTCTGCTGGCCGGCGAGCCCTCCTGCCCGGCCGGAGCCGCCCCAGCCCGGCCGGAGCCCTGCCGGGCGGGACAGCCCCGCTCCTCTGCAGCAGCGCTTCCCTCTGCCATCGGCACCGGGCACTGTGCAGCACCAATAAACTGCTCTGTCCTGCTGAACGGCCAAGATGCTGCTTGTTACTGTACACAGAACACATCTCCTCCTTCCCAGCCCCTGAAATACTCATTTAAATTAAAATACCAGGAGGTCCCAACTGCATTTTCATACGCTTGCCCTGTTCTGTTAGCAAAGTATGGAAAAGCTTAGCAGGAGGTGGAACAGTCTGACTCAAAGCAAATCTCCAAAAGCTACTGATTTTCACTTGTGTTGTTGAGACAAAATATTTAAGTGGAGTTTTATATAATTCCCAGCTGGTTGTGCACAATCTAATAACGTAAAGAGCATTTGTTCCCCCGTGGTGCTCAGGGCCTCGTGCAGAAATGTTTTTTCCTCCATGCCCCAACAAAGAAAGAGCTCATCCTCAGCTGCCTTTAGTACGTGGATCTTGAAACTAAAACCCAACACTCCAGCAAGGTCTGCCTCGTGTGTCTGTGTGTCACTGGGCATTCTTCATTAGAGATGTGCAAATGCAGCACAGAAACAAGCCTCTGGACACCAGCATGCAGACTGGATGAAAAATCAGCAGAAGAACATACTGTACTTAAAAAGAAAATATCAAACCCCAAACCAGAGAACATTTTGAGTTAATTGTTTCTAAGTATTCTCAGAGATTCCTTAATATTTAAAGCAGTAGAAAGTTTCTCATCATGTCATTCCCAACTGGAAAGAAGAACCTGAAACCATGGGTGAAATTGTTCAGAAATATTTAACATTGACCTTGCTCCGCCTTGTGTTAAAGTTGACAACCATTTATTGATTTCTCCAGGACTAAATTTAGTCTGATGTTGAGAATTTTGGAACAAAAGGTCCCACATCATTGTGGTTTAACCCCAGTCAGCACCCAAGCCTCACACAGCCACTCCCTCGCTCCCCCACCAGTGGGACTGGTGATAGAATCAGAAGGGCAGAAGTGAGAAAACTCGTGGCTTGAGATAAAGACAGTTTAATAGGTGAAGCAAAGCCACAGACACAAGCAAAGTAAAGGAATTAATTCACTGCCTTCCCTGGGCAGGCAGGTGTTCAGCCACCTCCAGGACAGCAGGGCTCCACCTCAGGCAGCAGTGACGTGGGAAGACAAACCCCAGTGACCCCCACCTTGTGGACTGAGCTTGGTGTCCTGTGGTCTGGAACATCCCTTGGGTCAGCTGGGATCACCTTTCCTGGCTGTTTGCTCTCCCAGCTTTCTCACCAGCATGGCAGCACAAGGAGCAGGAAAGGCCTTGGTTCTGTGTGAGCCCTGCTCAGACAGGGCAAAAACACCTGTATTTATAATCCCTGTGTTCAGCTCAAATCCCAAACACAGCCCCACACTGCCACTGGGAAGAAAATTCCCTCTAGCCCAGGCAGCAGCAGGAGGGGAGCAGCCAGAGGATGTCCTGGAGCACTGTGGGGTCAGCCCTGCAGGGCCTGGTGGTGCTTTGCACTGCGATGTTCAAGGACAGCAGACTGCAGGGGCAGCTTCAGAGGTGCTGCTTTTCATTTCTTGCCACTGGTTTTTGGCTGAAAGCCTCTGTTTCAGCGCTGCTCCCACCAGCCCAGTGCCATTCCAGTCCCTGGCAGCCTCGTGTGCAGCCAGCAATGCCCAGAGCCTCCCTCACAGCCTCCAAGCACACAAGGCACAGCAAATGCTGACAGCCTTTCACTAGTCAGCATGTTCCCAGCCCACCCAAAATGTTCCCAGTTTATCACCCTAGCAGAGGTTGTGCTGGCAGGTCCCTCTAACACAACCTTTGCTGCTTTGGCTGTGCCACAGCTCCACAAGTGTCTGGTCATTTCACACAGAAATTACTTGAAAGCACAAATTAAATCCTTTTTTCTTTTTTTGGTTTTTTTTTAGTCTACTGCAATTATTTTAGGCCAAGATAAATCAGCCAAAAGCATCTTACTGTTTTACAGAGCAGCATGGAAACTTCCATGAAAATGCGGTTAGTTAGCGGCCAAAGGAGCCAGAAATAATATTTAAACTTTCTCCTGGAGTGCTTTAAGATGGACAAGACAAATAAAATCACTCTGGGAATTTTGTAGTGAACCAGTGCTGGCTGAGCTGGGCCTGACCTGCGGGCAGGTGAAATGACAGTGGCTGCTGGACAGGCAGCCTGGGGAGAGGGGCAGCAGGTGAGCAGGCAGAGAGAGCTGAGCTGGGACAGGGACACGGAGTCAGAGAGTGAGCCAGCAGTGACCTGGCCTTTGCTGCCCGGGGCCTTCTGCCAACAGCAACAAGAAACACTGGGTGACATTTCAGAGACATTGCTTTGCACATGCACGTATCTCCCATTTGGACAATGATGCTGATCTAGTAAATGTTAGAAAAATCTTGAGTAATCTCACTAGCTCCAAACTACTCCAGTATAAAAACTCCCACATTGATAATCCATGCACTCTTAGACACAGTGATAGGTCTGTAATACTTTCCATTCTCTTTGATTGTCTCCCAACAGTGCATTCCAATGCCAGCTTTGTGCCTTAGAGGCACTCTTTGGCTGTTTGGTTCTTAGCCTGGGTGCAATTCCCTTCCCCACCATTTAAAATAAACCAAAGGGGGGGGGGGGGGGGGGGGAACCAGGAATAAGAGAAGAAAAAAAAGCTGAATTAAATTAATTCAGCTGCTTGCAGAAAGATGAGGGTGTTGAGCATTTTGAGAACAAGTACCAGCAAGAGCCCAGAAACAAAATCCCAGCCCCAGGAAAGGCTAAGACCCTTCCTTCTCAGTGGGAGATGACTTTACTTTCCAGCTCCTAGTTTCTCTCAGTGATTCCCTGGGCAGTTATTCTGTATATAACTGCAGTGCTCTGTATCCCACCAGAGACCTGAGATGGAGGCCATAGGCAGAGGCTGACAAATAGAAAACAACAATTTGCATTCCCATGCAGACAAAACGGGTAAATCAGGTGAAATCCAAAGGCAAGAGAGTCAACACGTTAACAGAAGTGTTTCTTAGTTGACATTTCAGCTCTCCTGCACAGATTTAGCCTTTTTCAGCTAGGAAAGGGACTCGGGAGCAGTTTGGATACAAATTGTTGGCAGTCCCTTGTGCCATATGGCTGCTGATTTGCCACCAAAATGCCCATTGCTGGGACTTCATTCCTCTGCTAAACACTGTTAGGGTTGTTCTGCTGCTGTATTTACCACTTCATTGCTGCCTTCCCCTGTTCCTAAACAGTCCTCAGCCTATGCAGGGGTAGCAGACCTCCCTCCACTCCATCTCTCTGCCAGGTAAGACATTCCCCAGACATGCCCCTGCTCCTGTGAAGGTTCATTTGTCCTCCCTGTAAATTACTGGGAGGTGCAAGAGAGGCCCGAGAGCTCCTCCTGGGGCTCTGGCCCC